CAGACCCCGCCCGCTCCAAAGCTCACAGAAGCCCGACTTGTGTGCGCGTTAAGAGTGGGACCGATAGACGTCATGATGCGTTTATGGACGTTTATACATGCAGGAAGGTTCACATGAGCTGGGATGTGTAATTTCCATCTGAGAACAGGAAGAAATCAGGAGGCCTGGCACGTCTTAGCATACATGCAAGACGTCAATACAGCTTAAATTTCTTATCCGTACTGTAAAATTTGAAAGCATAATGTACATAATGAGCTATTTAAATGAACGCATTAAATTACCATAGAGTTTTTGAAGTAATTACATTGACAATGTACACTCAGAGAAGCATTTACCGGCAAAAAGAAGGGATTAATAACAATAATAAGGATTTGCACATACAAATATATTACGCTTCTAAGGGGAATCTAAACACTTTGAACAATGTGATATGGAGCAGGACGCTGGTCTTAAAATCACAATGCACGTACTTTTATTGTAATTGAGCACAAGTCTCATAAGTTCATTCATAAGTCTCATTGCTACATTTGTACTTCTTTTATTCTCACGCAACCTCTCTTTCCTCCGCTCCCCACCGTCTGCTCTTTTTGTTTCTCTTTCACTGAGTCTTCGCCACTTTGTCTTTGTGAACAAACTGGGTAAACAACTTAATTTGAGCTGCAGCCAGAAAAAAAAGCTGAAATTTGAGAACCAAATGCTTTATATCCACAATATTTTCTTTTGTGACGATATGGCCTCGTGTTTTCAATGACTTTATCTATTTAAATTTCTTTCAAATCCCCCCAAAAAAGAAAAAAGGGAAGAGAGAGAAAGAAGAGAAAGGGAAGAAAAGAAAAGAAAAAGCCAAATGAAGAATTGTTGACAAAGAGTGGATGCATTTTCTGATGGAAAAGCTTCACGCTGTGTTTCATCAGGCTTTTAGTCACTAGTCTTGTTGGATGATTGTCGCCTTTGGTTTGGTTCCAATTGAGTTAAACGAGCCAGATAATGACTGCTTCACGGGCGCTTTGAGTCCAACCGTAAGATAAGATCAGATAGATATTACTGTGGCTGTAACCTGCTGCAAAAACATGTGTTTGCATTAAACAGAAACGCATATTGTACAGGTAGATTTACCCAGGGTGTGGTATGGAATACAAGGTATTAGTTTGTCCAATTGGCTTTGTCTTTTAAAATGTGTGTTTGATGTTTCCAAAAGGTGCAACTCAATGTCAACTGAACTCCTTCGATCCTTTGAATTTGGACCAAAGACAGATACTGGGTTTTATTGTTTTATACAACAAGTACAAGTATTTGTGATCCATTATTTGAGAAAATCATCTACATGTGAATGGATAGTAATTTAGTTGAACCCTTAAAATTATACAGTGCATAGCACTGTATACTGAAATACACATACAAAACAAGTCTAAACTCTTTTTTATAAATTTGGACTATACGAATATACTATTTAAATAAATGTGAGAACAGTTTGTAGCTTTAACAGAGTAAACATGCCCTTGTTGAACCTCTTTTGAGATCTCTACAATAGGAGTAATTTGGACAGGAAGCCTCCCACAGCGTGATGGCCCTTAACAGCATCTCCACTAGCACTCACAAACACACACACACACACACACACACACACACACACACACACACACACACACACACACACACACACACACACACATAGGCCTCCTACTCATTGGTGGATGGAATCTTTTCAGCTAATTGTCATGGGTACCCAGCCAATGGGCATGGAAGCACTGTGATTGCAGTGAAAGAATATGCGGCCCGGAGCCGTGTGTCGACTCCGCAGCACTTTTCCTTTGTTGCATTCGAGGTAAAATGCAACAGAGCACATTTCAAACCGTTAACGCGCTACTGGGACTACTGCTGAACCGCCGATGACCCCCTGCCGGCTTTGTTGGTTTGACGAGATCATTTTTAACAACTGAAAAATGTCCTCCATGAAACTTATTTGACTGAATGTGTCGGATATATTTAGTTTGCGACAGAAAGGGAAAACTAGATGCTTGTTTTCCATGTTTATTAACCACAGATTTATGGAGAAATGTGGATAAACCCAATGTTTGATGGGTAAAAAAAAGATGTAAAGAAATTGTACAAGGAGGTGGATATTGCTGCCTCTGTTTCTTCAATATTTGGACTCTTTCTTATAGGTTGAATGGGAATCGATCTAGTTTGATGCTTGTTAATCCATTGATGTCATTAGCTTCCTATTAACTGTGTGTGATTTCTAGTTAGAGTGGATTTACATTGTATCATTTTTCTTTTTTTTCCTCTCTTTTCTGAGCTCTTATTTGCAGAGAAAAGGCCATTATCTCTACCAAACTTCACCCCTGTAATTGCAAAAAATGAATTCTCCCCCCTCCCTGTTTGCCTTCCAATTACATTTCTCATTCTGCCTGGATTTCATGGTCACTTCACGGTCGCACGCGTGTCTCTGTTCTCCTTCATCTAACTACCTTTTGTAGACTGTCAAGGAAACGCTGCTACTTGCAGGCCCAAGTGGATCCTGGCGAAGTTTGTCTATATTCCCGTTTGTATGCGAATAACCTGAAATCGTCAGAACTACAATGAGTCATTACACTTCTGATGAATGACACCGTGGAGGTTTAGACAGTTGTCACCAGAGTAATTAAGAAAAAAAGTTCTGTGAGTGAAGGTGTGTGTTTATGCGACCTTGAGGCAAACAGCCTCGTGGGTGGAATGTGATTGATATCCATTCCAGATCTGGTGATTGACCCCCTCGGCTTTTATCCTCTTAACCCATCTATCTCCTATACTATTGTTCTGCTACTCAACTAAAATACACCTGCAAACTACTTCTCCAGCCCTTCTACTGTGATTGACACGCACACAATTGTTAACTCTCAGACGTCTATAGACGCGGCGGCTCACATACGGCTCACGTCTCTTGATTTTTAGGGTCAACCGTGTATCAATGTACTACTATGCTGCACCTTGTACTCAGTTTGGCAGTGATCCATCACTTCTGATTAATAACACTAATTTCTCTGTATTCAATTCAGAGCCAGGAGAGTATTAGCCTAGCTTAGCATAAAAATACTGGAGGAGTCACCTCCGCGCTAGCCGCTGTTCCTTTAGCTCCTGTAACAATTTCTCACTCAGCAAGGAGCCAGGCCAGCTCTTTCCCCTCTGTTTCTGTGCCTTATGCTAAGCTAGGCTAATGGGCACCTCCCTGTTTAATGCACCAACAAAGTGCGATATTGAACTTCTCACAAAGCCCTAATAACTCGCATAGCGCCAGTCAGAACGTCCCCAAACCTGCCGAGCCAGTAGCCGTCTCCATTTCCACATTCTCCATTCAAGGTACAAACACATTAAGGTTGAACTCCTAATAGCCTGTGTGATGGATGTCGGGGCATAATGAGCTCTTTATGAGACTTAATACCTACTGTTAATCAATGCACATAGCAGGCCACTTTTCAATACTACCTTCTAAGCATTTTAAAATGAGCACTCATTGAATAGATTGACTCACATTTTGTGTTGTCCTCCCCCTTTTTTTCTCCCTCCTTATTCTTCCATCCTCCCAGCATGCAATTAGTTACATCACATTCTCTAAATGAGACCATGCAAAGTCTCTAGAATGGCCCCGCTCCCATGTCGATGCATACCGTCCAGACTCAGTGATGTTTTGGATGCGAATGCAATGCTACGGCTGTAATGCAGTGGGTGGACCAGACGTTCCTTTGCCCTGAAGCAATAGAAACACGGATGGCCTATTTATTAGCATAAATATCCCATACAGGCTGCTGCTGGAAGCGCTCCCGTCAATTACTGCTGGTTGTTGTATTGTTGTACTTTGATCTTCAGCCGCTAATGTAATGCGTTGCTCAAGGCCTCTGCGCTTGTATCGCGCCGTATTAGCATCATAATCATTTATAATCTGAATCCAATAGTGTAATATTTGAATGGATTAGAAGGGGACTGGTTGCACGATTGAATAGCAGCGGTTAGATCAGGAGTACGGCACAAAGATGTGATGTGTGACGCTGCACGTGTTCAGCTGCGCTACAAGTCAGGCCACAAGCTGAGTCAGTGCCAGGAATCACTATTATCTCAGCACCTCAATTTGCATACGTGCATTTGAGTTTGTTTCTGAGCCTTTGTCATGTGTGTGTGTGTGTGTTTGTGCGTCTTGCTGTGTTTGATTATTCCTTACAGCCTCTAAGGGAGCGGGATTCATTCTCACTCTGATAATGAGGGAGAGACTAGCAATGCCCTCAAGTCATTTCTCCTCTTCTTGCATCCTTCCTGTTGCATCCGGCTGCTGTTTTTTCTTTTTTTCTCGGCCTCTACCTTTCATTGAGCCATCTCGCTTCCCATCGTTTTGCTTTCCTCTTGGCCTTCCTCTTACCTTCCTGGTCCTCTGCCATTCCTCAGCGGTCTTCAACGTTTTTCAGGCCAAGGTCCCCCAAACTCATGGCGAGATGGCGCAGGGACCCCCTATTCTATAATTCCCCTATTCCCTATAAAATTATCTTATCAACCAAAAATTTTGCGGCCCCCCTGCAGTACCTCTGTGGACCCCCTATGGATCGCGGAGTCTGTTGAAGGCCTCTGCTTTACATCATTGTGGGTCTGTGCTCATGCGTCGCTGACATCAGCTTAAGATGACAGGACGGTGCCTGAGACACTCTCGTTTTTTTTGTCAGAGATTTAAATGCCGGCCCGACCATTTATCATGAACCCGGTCGATGGTGGACGATCTCTGTGGACCTCTCCGCTGGCAGCTCTGTTTCTCCCCACAATAGCCATACTTATCCTGCGTCAATACTCTGACGCGTTCTATATCGTCGCCGGTCGCTTGAAAATGTCCATCCACCACGCTCCTACTTACCTAACTTTCCTTTTTTTATTTAGTGGACAAGAATGAGTCACAACAGAGCATCCATGAATTGCATACCAAGGTTTTACTTACCTTTCCACTCTCTCTCTCTCTTTCTCTCTCTATTGCTGTTTTTCAGGTGACTGACCTAACAAGCCCGCTAGGAGGCCCCTTCCTCTTCCCCCCTCCTCCACACAACCGCCTCCTCCTCATTCTCCACTTCCTCACCATATCTCTTCTCCCAACGCCCCCGGACTCCACCAAGCCCACCCACGAACGGCATGGATTTGAAGGACCGAAGGCACCGCTCCCTGACGAGGGGCCGTGGCTCCAAAGACACCCAGTACAACACCTCCTCCTTGGACACGGACGAGTGCCGCGTGCCCACCCAAAAGTCCTACAGCTCCAGCGAGACGCTGAAGGCCTTTGACCACGAGCAGAGGCTGCACTACGGCGGCTGTGTGACAGACCTCGTTCACCATGAGGCCGACGAGTACTCCAGGCAAGGTGAGTTCGTGGAGCGAAATTACTTATTACGCTGTAGTTTAGTGGCTTGAATCATACCATGCTGGACTGGAGACATTACTGTACGTGGACGATAAGGTTTTTTTATTTTTTATTGCCAAGATTACGTTGGAAGGAGAGGCTCATGCCTACCAGCACCTATGATGCTCTTTTGCACAATGTTAAAATAAAAAAGCAAAAGATTTTTTTGGAAAGCTCTTGTTCGTAGACCAGGGGACACCTGGTGGTGCGCGAGCTTCCCCTAGGGGGTGTGCGAGAGGAAAAACGTAATGGTGGTCTAATAATTAACAAATAGAAACATTTTTTTTAACACAAAATAGAAACTTATTTTAAAGAATTATAAAAATTAATGAATGGATGCACTTTAGCTCCTCCTTTTATGTACACTAGCTGACGTTAGCTTAATTTGCGCAGCTAACGTTAGCTAAGAGCTAACTTCATTCATTCAGCAACATTCATACCAATATGCTAAGCTGGCTGGAATCGGGGAAACTGTCAGGCGGACATCTGAAGCTATCAGTTATGAAAGAGAAAATGGACACAGAGAGAGAGAGGAATCGGAGGCGTTAATCTTACTCGCTACCCCTGGTTCTCTCCCCCTCTCTCTCTTCCTTGCGGCAGGCAGAGCCCCATGCGCTGCTTGTGAAATCCTAAAACAGACTCCTCCCTTTTTTATTTCTGAGTCTCTCCATGTGCCACTATTTGTTCCTTACGTGGTTTACTGTGTTTAAGTCAAATTCCCCTAACTCTGATGACCTCTGACTAAACATTTTCCATTTTAAATAATGTAACCACCATGTATGGTTAATTGAAATTCAACGAGATTCCCGCAACCCTGCATGAAGGAAAAGCGGCTTTGAAGATGGATGGATGGGCAATGTGTGTGTCCTCGCCATCCTTATGGCTGTGTAAAAGTCATGTAACTGGAATTTATTCAAACTTTGTTGCAGTGTTTCAGGGCATTTTCACACCTGTAGTTTGTTTGCTTTGTTCTGATTCGGGATTAATGTGATACAATGTTGCAGTTGCCCCTTTGTTCGGTTTGTGTTCACACTGCAACATTTAACAGCGCACTAAATATTTTAAACAAACACCACACGTGAGCAAACTGTTCTCTCATTGGTTCAATTTTAATGCAGCTATAAATAGGAGTTGTTTCTTTTTCTATCTCTCTTTTAAGTGTGGGGGATTGCGAGTGCAAGAACCCAGTCAGGATGTAGAAGGGGATGCTTGGCCTAAAAAGATCGAGAACCGCTGGACTAAAGTGCAAAAGAGGCGTAACCGTTATTCTTAACCTCGGCTGAGTTAGATGTGTCGCCCTACCTCCCATCGCGGTGCTTAGCTAAGCTAGCAGGCGGCTATTGTTAGCTTCATATTTCACCTTCAGACAGCGAAATCATATCCCAAAAAGGTAATTTTCCCCAAATGCTAGGGATATTATTATGAGGCATAGAAGAGAGGTGCTTGTAAGCTTCAGCTGGGAAAATTATTTATTTATTATAAAGTTTGTGAGCTTTCATATGGTTCAAGGAGTTACAATCATGTCCTGTCTAGCTCGAGTATTTGAGCCCGACATATGTCAACAATGTTAGAGCCTTCCCTTTCCTGTCCGCTACCACACACGTAACATTTTATTCCCACGGCCTTCTACTTTCAGCCAGTGTGTCATTCTTGTGAGGCTTTTGTGGCAAGTTGGTATAGTGATCGGATGGTGTAAATGCTGCACTTTGCAGCACAGGACCAAAGCAGACCTTTAGCACCAGGAAGCCTGTCATAATGTACTTCGGTATCCCCTGTGGAGGGAGTTAGCCGATAGGCCGATAGGTCATCTCCAAAGGGGCGGGCCTGCTCTTATAGGCATGTCTTTTAACCATGTGTGTGTGTGCATGCGTGTTTGTGTGTGTGTGTGTGTGTGTGTGTGTGCACATGTGTGTATATTGCACAGTGACATGAAACGAGCAGAATTGATCCCCGGCTAGGGAGAGAAGTCAGACTCAATGGGATTGATCTGTGCTAAGCTCTGTTTTCTCTGCACGGAGACAGACAGGAGTGGGAGAGAGCTTGTCACACAACTGCTGAAAAGAGTAGAACAACAGTAAAAGAAATTGCCCTCAAAAAGGAATGAAAGGAGAGTCATTGGTGGTATTTCTGAAATAGAAGTCCTTTATGATAGTAATTTGACACAGTAGACCCATTGTCAGAGTCTCTTGTGTGACTGCGCGTGTGCCCCAAAAGTAAGAGCAGACGTTAGTTTAAAGAAGAACATTTCTTAAGGTACACAGAAAATCTTTTTCAAGCAGGAGAAAATGTGCGATTCACTGGCAGGATGCACGGAAGACTGGATGTCATTGGTGTGTGCCGTGCGGACACACTCCACTGCTGCTGCGAGCTGACCTCACACCAGGCAATAACTGGTCGATACCACAGTGCTCCAAAGCCTATCAGCTCCCACGAAAGCCCAGAGCCACAGATGCATCGTGGGAAGTGTGGTCACAGGAGACCAACAGTGTTGCAGCACCATATGGACTGTGACTCCATGGGAGGAGGAGGAGGAGGAGGAGGAGGATGGAGAGAGGCAGCAGATGAATATAGAGTTTTCATCTCCTTTCAACTAGTGATTTTTTGTAACTTGTACTTGAGGGATTGAAACAATGTGTTCACCTATTTGAGCAGCTTGTAGTTTACGGGCAAGACGGCCGCAGTGGACACTTTCTTGTCTTCAGCCGTCACTACAAAATCAGACAGAGAGGGAGTTTTGATTATACCCCTGTGCTTCGTTAAATAGCCTGCAAACTGTTTAAAGAGGGAGGTGTGATATCTGAACTGACCCGAGATATTAGTAATTCAAGAAAATATGATTAACTTTGTTTGAATTATAATGATGTTGTTCGTTGGCGTTTCCGATAACTGGAAAGGTTTTGAGGTCATCCAGAGCTTTTCCTCTGAAAGCAGTATTGCTTTAGTGGATACATGTAGCACAAACTTTTCAAAGGTATTTACTCTTGTGGCTGTCATTAGACAAAAAAAAGGGGGGTTAGTCAAGCACGAGTGGGGCGAAATCATCCGGTGCACACCAACGAAGACACAAATCAAATCAAACAAGCTGTTGCTGAGTTGTTGACTCACCTGCAGAGAAGTTCACACCAGAGACATTTATTCTTGATGAATTCTAACAGGTTTTGTTGCTCAGGCTCCATTGTCCTGCACATGTGCATTTGCAAATGTGCGCACGGTGGACATTTTTGTGGGTAAATGTTTTGGGGCTGTTTCTGTTATTCTGAAAGATCATTTGAATTGCGTTAGGCAGTGCAAATTATTAGTATGGCAGATGTCGTCGGGCTATGTTCAGAGCCAAATCGCACATCCTGGGGATGTGATTTTTGCACAAGAACGTTTTTTTGTTAATTATAAAAAACATCTTTTGCATTTAAAAAAAAGGTTTATAATATATATACTGTATATCTAAAAGTCTTACATAAATAATAACTTTTCTCACTATATTTCTAGATGTACACCAAAGTCCTGACGCAGGTTATATACAATCTATACTGTAGTATTATACTAAAGATACCATTGCCTGTTGAAATAAGTTACTTACTGCACATCATTATGCATGGAAAGCTTCACAGGATGTTCAGAGTCTCCTGAAGCGTAAATTCAACATAAAAAGGAACATCATCTCCCTGGGGAACCGTATTTGGTGTGTCTTTAGAGTCTTATAGCAATGCTGTATTTTTGTGTTTTGCTGCTCTGTGCCTGCTGGGCAAGAAATATTTTCTGTGGACTTACTTCCCAGTCCATTAGGAGCTGATGTTAATGAACTTTATGCAGACCCGCCTTAAGTCTATATGCGGATAATGTATTCTCCTTCATCCAACATATTTGTCTTGCTCCAACAATTTTCACTTGCTTGGTCATTTGGTGGTCACAAAAGGAGTTCTGTCTTCTGTGTTATACTTTTCTAATAATACAAAGTAATATAAAGACTGCTATATCTGCATGTAGAAAGACCAAAGTAATATGAAGACTGTTAGATCTTCATGTGGAAAGACCACAGACTATTTCTACTTCTGATTTTTACAAAGTTCAGGGTCAAAGCACTCGAGTGTGATTCACCAGCTGAGTGAATTAATTGGTTGCCTATTAGTCCCACACCTCAAATTTGTCCCATAAATCTGATGTCTGGTGTTGTTCAGGATGACAATTGTTACCCCCCATTTAGAAAAATAATTGACCCTTAACTAAAGCCTGACCGCTGCAAATATTATCTAGTTTTTGGAAAAGGCCATTTCATAGAGAGTTAGACGGAATGGTCTACACCAGAGGTCTTCAACGTTTTTCAAGCCAAGGTCGACCAAACTGATGGCGAGGTGGAGCAGGGACCCCCTATTCTACGGCGTTTGGTCCGCCATCTTTTATTTTTGAGCTTCACGCTCTTTAGACGTGAGCATGAACGCGATCTGATTGGCTGGTGCCTGCGCGGTCGTATTCGCATGAAAGGAGCTGTGAGTGAACCGGTGCCCAGCTTAAGAGCTGCTGAGGGAAGCTGAGTGTGTGTGTTGCGCACTGACAGATAACGTCTTCTCCATCAATTTATCCGTTCGCTTCAATATGTTGGATTCATGTTAATGTGTATTTAAAGGCCATAAATACAATTCTGATTCTGATTCTGAAGACATTTACATTTGTGGGGGAAAAATTGTTTTAAAAAATTGTCTTATCAACCAAAAATTTCACGACCCCCCTGCAGTACCTTCACGGAGCCCCTGTTGAAGACCTCTGGTCTACACTTTGGTCTACGCATTTGAAGATTATATCTACAATGTCAAACTGATCAAGCAGAAAAAAACGGGGAAAAAGCCACCCGATTAGATTAGTTGTTGAGGGAAGAACCTGTTCCTGCGTCTAGTAGTTTGGGTGGTACAGTGCTCTGTAGCGCCTACTAGAGGGCAGGAGATGGAATAGTGCCTTTCCCAGGATGT